TGGCTCGAGGGTTTGCTGATATGGTCGCCTGATACCATCTGGTTGGAGGTAGGACTAGAAGAGGGGATAGATGTAAGATATCTAACCTCTCTTCTCCTACGCGGGCGTGTTCTACCCCCACCACCATTCCTTCCCCTACCCAGCACCACCTCAATGGCTGCCCCCTCCAACGCCCTCCCCTCTTCCTGTTCCATCAGGTCCACTGTGGGTCTCTATGCAACTCAATAACAGTTAAAAACCAACAAAGCAAACCCACAAACCCTTCTAATGCCCCTTCTCCCCTCCCAGCCAGATGGCTGGTGTTGCAGAAGGGGTGGGGTTGCCCAAAGCAGCAGCAGCAGCAGGGTTCCAGTCCTGAAGGCCAGGGGAGTGCAAGCCAGAAATACTCCCAGGCACTGTCTCTCACTCAGTGCCTGGGGACGGCAGATCTCACAGGCGACTCCCCCGATGGCAGGAACGCTGCCCTAGCAGGGCCCTGGCACCGGCGTCTGGCTTTTACAGCCTCCCTCCCCTCCAGCCAGGTGGCTGGTGTTGCAGAAGGGGTGGGGTTGCCCAAAGCAGCAGCAGCAGCAGGGTTCCAGTCCTGAAGGCCAGGGGAGTGCAAGCCAGAAATACTCCCAGGCACTGTCTCTCACCCAGTGCCTGGGGACGGCAGATCTCACAGGCGACTCCCCCAACGGCAGGAACGCTGCCCTAGCAGAAAAGTTTCTTTCTACTGTACCATTTTACCAGTGATTCGCCAGAACACTGTTGGTGTTCAGATAAGGTTTGAATAACTTACCATGGCTAATTGACACGGTGCTGGAGTGGGTCTCTGTTGTAGAACTGGTTGTGTGACCAGGCATACAACCAAGATGCACCCAGCACCTCAGCAATTAGCTGCAGGAAATCATGAAAGCCTTACATGAATACTAATAGGATTCTTGATGTTGTTAAACATCTGGAATATGGAAACCCCTGTTGAACTACTTCAAATAATACAGAGATCTACCAGTAGATTTTCATTCACCTTCAGGGCCAAACTAGACATTTCAGAAAAGCTGTCCATAAAGCTGAAATTACATTTAAATTCTAAAAATGTGTTTCAGGAAGACCTTTGTTTCTGAGAAATTCAATCAGGAAAAAAAAAAAAAAGCTATGCCTGGCTCCGAAAGACCAATTGCAAAATAAAGCAAGGTAATTTATAAGGTTTGGGAGGTTGAAAAAAAACTCTTTTGTTGTGAGAATCATATACTTTCCGTTGTAATGAATTCCCTCATGTAATGACATACAGGTTGGCCCTAACTTAATAAAGCAGTGAGAGTTAAAGGCTGTCCGTTCATCCCATTAGCAGAACACATTCTTAGGCGGTGCCAGAAGTGAACTCCCAGTTATGACTGAGAGCTGAAAACCTAATATGCTTACTTTTCAGAGCTTCCACAGTTTCACCCTTTTTCACAAAAGATTTTTGGACATTGTTGATTCTGGGGAGAAAAATACAGCCAATGTATTATTATTTCTTTTCAGTGTAGCACATTTCTCTGGCAGAATCTCTCTAGCAAGATAAAAGCAAACAAACTGTAGCCATTACACATTTATAAGTAAGCAATACTGGTTTTAATTTACAATGAGAACAAATCTGTATGTTGAAAAGTACAGTCCTCCTCAGGCAAAATAAGGTAACTAAAAATATTTTGAGAAAAGCATTATGCTAGAAAGAGACTGGACTACTGAATAAAGTGGAATGCTACAGAAGATTGAAGAGTTCATTTTTGAAAGACAGAGACTACCTTATTGTTGCTACCAAAAATTGTAACTAAATGGGATCCCATGCTAATTGGATAAAGTATATACAGTACCTCTTTCTTTTGGCACTAAGCTGGTTTTACCCAAAGACCTATATGATAACTTCCAGTTTCTTAGCAAGATTGTCTTCCTTGTCTCAACTAGTGATGCTGTGGAAATTTGTAGGCAGTTGGTTTATAAATCCAGTAGATTCCTAATGTTTATGTGTAGAATGATGCAGAAAACATAGTTTTTTGTAATTCAGATTTAGATTTACTCGATTTTGGTTTTTCTTCCACCTTCATAGCCTTCATGCAAGATGTGTCCAAACAGAATATGTTCAACATTTTTGAACATGCTCAAGCATCCCCCCCCCCCAATCTCTTTAGTTTCTAAAAGAAATGATACAGGCTTGTTTGCACTACACATGCATGAAATGGCTTGATTTTAATCTTTTGTGAGGGAGTTGCTGAAGCAGGCATCCCTAACCCTTGCCTGGCCCCAGACCAGCCCTCTCGGTCTATGATGCACCAGACTAATCAGAGGCTGGAAGAGAGGAGGGCTCAGAATGTGCACACCCAGACAGAAGCTAGATAGCTCAGTGGTTTAGGTAGTTCAATTCCCCTCTGTGCCTTGGCAAGGGAAGTCATGGCAACACTGCAGCAGTTGAGGAACAAAAGAGGGCCCACTAGAGGAAGGGGTGAAGGTGGAGTGGGATTAGAGGCCAAGGACATAAAAGGAACCCTAAAAGGGGTAGAGAAGGAGGTATCTAGTGGGAAGGGAGAGCAGAAGGGAGAACAACAGTGAGGAGGAAAGGGCTTGGGGCAATGGTCCTGAAGACTCTGACTTTGAGACCTACAACACCAAAGAAACCCTAAAGCTGGAGGGTGAATAGGAGTATGTGATCAAAGAAAATCTGTTGACTGCGGCTCTGGTCAAGTTTAGAATGCCCAAGATGGAGAGAAGAAACATTGTTGGTGCAAAGAGAGAGGGTGACAGTGACCCCCCAGGCCAGATCAAGCCCAGAGGAACTGACCCCTTATGCAGCTGTGACACTGGTGGAGGAAGAGGCAAAGGGAACGCTACCGGAGAGTCTAGCAACAGCAGCAAGCACAGCCAACCCACACCCATGTCCAGATAGAATGCGTTAAGAGCACGGGTCCTGAGGGCATATTGGCCCTTGCGACTCCAGGCATACAGCTTCGGTGCCAGTAAGAAGGACTCAAGCTCCCCACACTCCTGTTGCTGTTAACTCAGGGCATGGGGTAGGCTAAGACTAGGGTGGGGCTAGTGAAGGTGACTAGCCCCACTGTAAACTCTGCTTGGAACTGCTGTTCGAGACTTGTTCGAGACCTCCATTCAAGAAACAATAAACCCTCCCTTGTTTGAATCACACAGTGTAGGAGGGACCTCATTTTGATCCAGGATGGGTCAATGGGGCTTGCATCCTTTCAGACTTTATTTTTAACAATACTTTACCTCTTTGCCAAATGAACCAATCAATTCAAAACTTTTAATCGAACATCTCATAACATCTAACCACAATGAACAGTAATCTTTTTTTCTCCTTCCAGTTGCTCTCTGTCTGCAACCACTGTCTCCTTTTGATTCACATTCATTTACTGTTATAAACAAAGCATGAGTGGTAACACCTAATGAGAAAAGCAACATCCATGACACCTAATATTGTGCCAGATGGGATGGAAAAGAATGTAGTATTACACTGGCCATGTTCCACACGCACTTTGGTGATGTGCAACAATTGGAAGGTACTCCAAGATAGCATAATGACAGAATTTCTAATCAAGTGTGTAACAGTGTATTCATAACTCCAAAATTACAATTACAATTTGGTCAGTTTACACATCATTAGTATCAACTGTGAGCCCCACTCAGTAAAGCTTCATGTATGCAGAATTGCTTGCCAGCAAATAAATGTTTAGGGACAAATAGGACCTTCATACACAGATCTTTAGACCACAAGTACCTCTTCAAAACCTTGTGATTTTAAAGAGCTGATTAACGCGGACTTGTTTCAAAGGGGACTTTTCCTCACAGGACAGTAAGAGATAATAGTTACAAGAGTAAACTATCAGCAACATGTTGCTTGTCCAAATAGCATGCATTTCTAACATGAAAAAGTCATAATGGTTGTGGTGGGTTTTTCGGGCTCTTTGGCTCTGTTCTGAAGGTTGTTCTTCCTAATGTTTCACCAGTCTCTGTGGCCGGCATCTTCAGAGGACAGGAGGCAGAACTCTGTGTTCTGGCCTTCGAGAATGCATGAAAAAGTCATTTACTATTCTGCTGCTGCCTAATGAACACTCCTCTCTCAAAAATATTAATATTAATACTGCCATTAGCAACTGAGATTAAACCACAGTGCAATTTCCGTACCTGATTGCTTCCTTTCCCTGAAATTCAGAGGACACAGGTTCAATGAACTCATTGAAATCTAGGCTCCCAAAGACGCTGCTCTCACACAATTGCTTGTAATTTCTTGTTCGTTTTACCCAAAAAGAAGGTTTCAAAAAGTAGAAAAAACTCCGCCGCAACCCATATTCCCCTAAACAATAAAAGACCAAAAAAAAAAAAAAAAAAAAGAATAATTAAATATTAGTTGGGTGGAGTATACACATGTAAATAACTAGTCTTTTGATTATTTTCCAATTACAATTTTCTGATTTTTAGAATGCCGAGCAAAAACATTTTGTTTTGGGCACAGACTTTAAGTCAGGAAAGTCTGCCAGTACTACAAGAAGTATGTCCATTAATTTACATTGTAAGGTACTGTTGAAATGCGTTAACTCAAAGACATGTGTCTCTGTGTGTGCGGACATGCACACACATGTGTGTAAGGTGCATATACTTAGTATAAAGGGGATGTTCAAATTAGCAAATACAAAAAATGAAGATTGCTTCATTTTCATGTTTTTTCACTTAATTCTGAAAGAGTGCCTCTTAAACCCAAATGCTTTGTTTTAACAAACGAGAGGGATGTGAAAGCATTGGATTCTTTCATGCTTCTCTCTTTTGTTCGATCCTTCCTTCAACTCTTGTAGGTCACATCACCCAGGAAATGTTTAATCCAATAGTATCCTGGGAGCTGTTGTCAGCATCCAGTCAGAAAGTTGGGTGAGTGGGTGGGGAATGATTTATAGAAGGACCTGGATTTCATTGTGGATCCCAGTGAAGAAAGTTCTTTTGCTTCACTCCTTCCTTGTAGGTAGGATCTCAGTGTTGCTGAGCTCCAAAGCATGTTCCATGTAAACCGACTACTATTCAATGCCATAAACTTTATGCTAAATTAGTGCATGAAAACCTCACCAAGCTCTTGACACTGTTTTATTCTTTCACAGACACACATACCTGGAATCACCTGATCCAAATAAATCCCCAGGAATAGGTAAAGCATGCTATCCAGAGCCAATAATGTAAAAGCAATAATCAGTGGATAAGGGCCATGGGTTAAATTTGAAAAAGTAGCTCCTTCTTCATAATCTTCCAGATGCATCACCTACGAACAAATATAGAAGTTGTTTACACCTTTTTTAAACCTTGAAACTGACAATAAAAACAATAATCAGTTCAGTTCAGAAACCTTTATTAGGCATATACAGAATAACAAATTAACAGGGAAGTCAAAATTAAAATTAGACAGAATATAAATGGGATTTTTGTTCCATTATATAGTTGTTCCTGAATCCAAACAACTTTAGACCAATTAGCCTTCTCTCTATCCCGGGGAAACTCTACGCATCACACCTTCTAACTAAGCTGACCTCGTGGATTGATGATAACAATATCCTAGGCCCAGAACAAGCTGGATTTAGAGTCGGGAGATCCACCCTGGAACAATGCCTGATATTATTTCATCTTGCCGAGAAACCGCTGGCCAGCCCCCACTCAAGACTATTTACTGCATTTCTGGACCTTAGAGCAGCTTTTGATCTCATAAACAGAAACCTTCTTTGGGCAAAACTCATTAAGATGGGAATCGACAACAAACTTCTTTCCTTGATCCAACGTCTATATGCGACCACATCCTGCCAAGTTAGGTATGATGATCTAGGCAATCTTACTGAAAATATTACCACCACCAGGGGAGGAAAACAGGGTTGCGTGCTTGCTCCCACCCTGTTCAACCTTTTCTTGAATGACCTATCACTTCATCTAGCGGACATTGACTCCCATTGCCCTAAACTCAACAACCCCCCAGTCGACTTGCTCCTCTACGCAGATGATATGGTCCTGATTTCAAGAACAAAAATCGGATTGAGACGTCTGGTTCTTGCTACCATAGAGTACTTGGAGTCCAATCTACTACAATTAAACTACGACAAATAATCAATTAACAAGTAGCCTCTTTTCTGAAAATGGAACTCGTCATTTTAGGTGTGAAACTTTAAGCAGGACCTTCTCTAGAACCACTGAGGAGTAACTTCTATTTGTCAGAGATGAGAACCTCTGTTCCTGCAGATACAGCCGGAATCAAGCTTTCATCAACCCTTAATTCTGGGTTGGCCAGATGGGACTGATGGGAGTTGGAGTCCAACAATAAATGAGAGCGTCCCAGTCCTACTATACACTACAGGAGCAAGACCAAAACATACTTTACTAACCTGTGCCACTCCAACTAAAAACGTGCACTCGCAGAGAGGACTGAGTGACCACACAAAGGACTTTGGAAAATCTTCTACTAGGACAATGGTCAGACCAACAGCACCAAAAGCCACAGTTGTAAAATACTGAGCTGAGCCAGCATAGGATGATTTCTTGAAAATTGAAGTTAGCATGAATGCAAAGGAAACCTAAACAGACATAGGAAATGTATCTGAGTGCAGGATTAAAAATGTTAACATCATAATTTTTATGTGTAGAAACTAGAATGAGAAGAAGAAGCATCCTCCAGTCACCCAAGACTGGATCTCAACGCAGTTTACAATATAAGTAAGGATTTTATTGAGACTGGGAGTCTTAGCAAAAGAAGATAACAACTGAGATCTTTCCCAAGGCAGAATGCAGAAGGCACTGCAGATTCAGAGACTAGCTGGCTTTGAAGACAGTAGCCAATAGAAATAACCTTTTCACTAAATTTGGAACAACTAGAAAATGATTTAAAAAAAAACTAAACGCACAAACATTGTCTTAATAAAACAAGAAAAATATATCACCACCTATGAGCTGTCTTCCCCTGGTGTTTGCAGATCACACCCTGAATTTAATTCGTAGTCCCAAATGGAGCAGAACCATTGAATCAATGGGATTTAGATGAGTGTTGGCTACGGTTCAATAACTGATTTAATAGAGTCGGAATTAGCAATTGAATTTAGGTTGTTAACAGAAGAATTTGGGCCAAATGAAGGAGGTAAGATGGATGGCGTTTTGGCAGCTGCCCCCAGACTATGGCACACCCTCCCAACTGAGATTCGCCTGGCGCCGACGCTGATGACATTTTGGTGCCAGGTCAAAACCTTCCTGTTCCAGAGGATAATATCAACTGTGGGACCTGATGGCAATTTTATAGTATATATTTTAATTCTTTTTTCTTTTTAACTGTATTTTAATTGCTGTGAGCCACCCAGAGACCTTTGGGAAGTGTGGGCAGCATATAAGCTAAATAAATACTGTATTTTTTGCACCATAAGACTCACTTTTTTCCCACAAAACAGGGGTGTGGAAAGTCTGTGCGTCTTATGGAGCTAAGAAAACAGATTATATTTTCCTGTTTTCTTCTCCCATAAAAATTGGTGCGTCTTATGGAAAGGTGCGTCTTATGGAGCGAAGTTTGTGCAATATAATCATAGGCTTGCTCTGTAAGCTTATCCGTAGCAAAGAGCATTCTAAAATCGCAATGAATACATGCACTCGTGCACACGTACTTACAGAGGATATGCCATAGAGGAAGAAAAGAAGAAATATCATAAAGCTGCTACTTTGAGGGAACAGTGAAGAGAAAGTTGCAATGACTGACATGAGAAGGGACATGACAAAGATCAGACTGGAATACAGCAAGACCCAAGAAAGCCTGGAAAGAAGGAAAAACAGTGACATTCAAAGGCATCTATACTAAATACTAAGTTAGAACTAAACACAATTCACTGCTATATGAAGGGACATGCCTGAAAGGAGCAGTTATGTTACATGAATGAAGAACAATTTGCAGTGAATGTACTGAAATGTGTCTGTCTATGTGTGTGTGTATGTGTGTTCTGTGCCATCAAATCGGAACTGACGTAGCAACTGTAATAGGGCTTTCAAGGCAAGTCAGGTATTTAAGGAGAGTTTTTACCAGTTCCACTCCCCCAGTGAATTTCTATGGCCAGGTGGAGATTCAAACTCTGTTCTCCAGCGTCTTAATCTTTCACTCTATCCATAATACCATACTGGGAATCTGAATTACAGTAGGACTCCCATATCCATAGGATTTGTATCCATGGTTTCACTTATCTATGTCTATTAAATAATAAATATTAAAAACATTAAAAGACAAATCAGAAATATGTATGTCCACAATGTATTTACCAGAACTGACCTCTAGAGGGAGCCAGAGACCATGCTGTCTGTTGAGCTTGCTATCTGTGGTTTTTCGTGTCGGGGGGGGGGGCTTGGAACAGATCCCTGTGAATGTGGGAGTCCTATTGAAGTTCTTGTTCATCTACAAAATGGTCCCCAATACATAATTTCCTTCCAATTCACCCTCAGAGGAAAATGTTTTTCCTCAGGAAGAAGAAAAGGTTTAAAGTCATATTGGTACTTACCATAATATAGTTCTTTCCTACAGAGGTAGAAGGACATATTTGCAATGATATGTCCTTTCCATTTGGTTTGCTAGACAACCAATTAAAAAAATTAGAAGGGAGGACTAGTAAACCACTTCTGAGTACTTTATACCTAGGAAGCTGAGGAAGGGTCACAAGAAGTTTATTAAGTTTTACATTGCTTTCTATGAAATGTTATAACCATTTAACATTTCATAACATGCGGTGGATTAGAGCATGCAGGAGCTTATCGCCTTAAAAGGCTCACCCAGCCACCTGCTACTTTGAATCTATGGAGGAAAATCCATGTTCTCTTCTTCTGTACTGCTCTTGTGCTGCCCTCCATAGATTCTAACTGGCAGATGGCTGGGTGAGCACTTAAAATACAACAAAAATGATCCGTGCTTGAGGAGAGCATTGTCGATACTCTAGACTGCCAGAAAGATTAAGAAGTGGGTCCTAGAGCAAATCAAGCCTGAACGATCTTTGGAGGCAAACATGACGAAACTGAGGCTGTCGTACTTTGGGCACATCATGAGAAGGAAAGATTATCTGGAAAAACAAATAATTCTGGATAAGTTGAGGGTAGCAGGAAAAGAGGAGGTCCCAATCTGAGATGGATTGACTCCATCAAAGAAGCTATAGTACTGTGTTTGGATTACGAAAGCTGGGCAGGGCGGTTGTGGATAAAACATTTTGGAGAACACTCATTCATAGGGCCAGAGGCAACTTGATGGCACGCAGCAGCAATAATATGATGGTCAGAAAGCTTCGAAAACGACTTCTGGTGAATATGTCTGTTTGTAGTTTCTGATTACCTCTGTATTTTACTGAGCTACTTACTCTTTACAATTTTTTGTCAGGAATTTCACAAATCTTCTCTATCTACATATGGGATCTGTGGATATTTTCACAGCAGTGGGAGGGGAGCATGGATGATAAGTTCTGAGGTAATGCTTTCCTTGTCCACATCTCACCGTTTTATTTTATTTTATTTATATGCCGCCCACACTACCCAAAGGTCTCTGGGCGGCTTACAGCATCCAAAATACAACAATGGTTTATTTTCTCTGAAGAGAGATGGGGTATTTAAACAATGAAACAACAGGGACTTTGATAATCAAATGAACATTGAAATGACTGAAAAGGTTATTTGAAATGACACGGATATTAGCCCTTTCAGGGATAAATGCCAACTATGACAGATTATAAACTCAAACTACCACAGCGTGTTTTGAAGTTTTATAGTGCTCTGAGGTCATTATTTGAGTGTCATATATTTGACCTTAACACCTGGGTAATAACTAGAGATGGGCATTAAGTGCTTCATCGCACTTCATATGAAGCGTGTCACACAATCTCCCAGCCCCCTGGCTGGCTTGCCCACTCACTGTTCTTCACACGCTGCCAGGGACCTGCTTCTCTGGCAGCATGCCAGTCTGGGCTAGAGCTCAGGCTGCCCTTCCCCACCTCCTCAGGCAGCCAACAACTCTGACAAGGAGATGGGATGAGAATTCTCCCCGCACAACTGATGAATGGTCAGCTGCCTGAGGCGGCGGGAAGGGTAGCCCAAGTTCCTGCCCCAACTGCTTGCCACTGGAGAAGGAAGTCCTCAATGGCATGTGAAGAATGATGAGTGGGCCAGCCGGCTGGGAGTGTGGAAGGTGGATCTGCATAGTACCTGTGGCACAGCATGGTACGCTTCATATGGAGAGTGACAAAGCACTTTGTGTCCATCTCTAGTTATAACTTCTCATGAAGCTATTTTGACTGGGTGATCTAGGAGGGGCCCAAGAAGTGCATAACACCTTTGAACCATGATTTATGTGAGGTTCAAATTGTACCTAAGTTATAATTTAAGCTAGGCAGCCACATTTGATGACCTAGCTTCAAATCCAATTAATCTAAGCTATTCATATTTAAAACTGCCAATATATAGGAGATAAATATATCTCCTTGTTCTATTTTCAGGACATGTTAAAGCAAACACAGTGTCTTAGATCCTAAGACATGTTACCTTAAGGAAGGGAAGTTTCTACCAAGGTAGTTCAATGATTTTTTTTAAAACATCAAATTAATTTAAATAAAAATTTAAATTTTAAAAATTGATTTTGTTTTGTTTCAGTAGTCAAAAAAAATCAGATTTTTGGTTTCCACGCTCCTTTCCATTTACTTCCAGTTACAAACTTTTCTGGAACAACCTGGAGTAGAGGCCCCTCAACAATATGGGACTGGATGCAGAGTGCTGGTGGAGAAAGCAAAGGCTATGCAAATTAGCCACGTGTTTTTCTGATATGGAACTCTCCTCCCGTCCTGCAGCAACCCCTCACCCCCATATAGAGTGCCAAGGGAATGTCAAGAAGGAAAACAGGGGACATTTCCCTCCCATTCACTTTCTTACCTTAGAATCCAAGCCTTTACATGCCTTTTCCCCAAGAAAAGTATAATGCAGTACTGCAAGATAATATGACAACCATTCAGTTTACTTCTCACCAAAGAATAAGAATCATATTTGCATACCAAAAAGCTGTGTCTTGAAGTCCCATGACCATTAAGAATTCTTTCAGTTTCTTCTCTTTCTCAGTCACAATATGAACTGTCAAGAAGTAGCCAAAAGGTGAAAAGGCAATCACAAGGTAGATTAAAATGACCGCACGAACAAAATCATCTACTTCCACAACAGCAGACATTCCCATCATGATAGCTTTTGTAGATTCCAGGTTTTGCCAAACAGAGTGATTCGTCTTCAACTAGGGAAACAAAAGAAAGGTCAAAACCAGTCTTCATAATTTTGCAGCATTTATTTTAATAGGCAATTTTAGTCTTCAAAGTAAATTGCAAACCTAAATATTACCTTATCTCACTTATACTGATAATCTAAGCCCCTATCATGAAACTCAGAAGAAAAGTTGCACAAAATTATTCTGGTTACAAGGCACATTCAGACTGGAAGTTGTCATACCAAAGTTTTATTACTTTGCATTTTCCAAAATTCACAATCATAACCCATGTATATAAGGGCATGAAACCCAACAACGACATTCTAGTTCAAACTAGTTCACTTCATCCTTCCCTCAAGAAAGAATACCAAATGGTTTTACTGTACAAAGGATAGCCCTATCAGGCACTCGGATTTAACCATTACCTGGAACATCATTACCTTGAGGACTTATGTTTCTCGTTCTAAACTATCAAGATGAAAGTGGCAGGACCTGGTTGCTGGTCTTACCATTAACAACCTGCAGAGTGGTGACTGGTATATAAACAGCATATGGAAAAGGCTTATGAGGGTCCCCCCCACTCTCTTCTCTAGTCTACCCATACTTTAGGTAGCTCTGGCCAGAACTACATTGTCAGGAAAGAAACAGGCTTAATCTGCAATTACTGTATTCCCATTGCATCGAATGGCATCAAACCTAATTTAGTTCAAAATGGTGCCCAGTCTGATTCTTTTCTGCTCTGGATTTTACAGACACACTGCGGTTTCAGGCACTATAAGGCAGTCCCTTTTTCCCTTCCAGTCACCTGCCTGTTCCATCCCCACATTCTTTATTCACCACATTCTTGATCACGTCTGTTTTCAGAGCTATTAACTTAACAAGGCTGGTCACAGAAGACAAAATGGAGGAATTCTCCTGCTGTTTGCCCTGCAAAGTCTCCAGACAACTCAGGACACAAGACCGTGGATTCACCTCTGCCATCTCTTGCTCCCCTCTCCTGTTTCCCACTCTCTCACCCTCCAACATATCTTCATTTTATTTCCTCCCTTGAACTTCTGTTTGCATATGTGGATGAGTGATTCCTTTTTTAAAAACTCCAATTAAACCACACATCCAAATATATGCAGAAGAACCTTTAAAAAAATTAAAGGGGGGGGCACAAGGAGGATAAGATGTTCCCATCATGTCCCACCCTTGAAATGCTCACAGCACCAATGTGCACGGCCACCCTCATCAGATTAAAACTTTGGCATGTACTGCTAACAATATCACAGCTGTTTGCACCTACCCTGCAGTAAATACCGATTATTGTAAAGATGTTGTTTCAGTCTAAGGGTGTTTCCCAAGTGTGCCTTGGCCATTTCTTACGGTGTATCTTTTTCCAGGATTTAAAAAGTCCAGCTCAGTTCAGTTTTTTAGGAGTGGAACTCTGCTCATAGGATCTAACTGCTGATGCAAGGGGAGCAGATCCTTTTCTGATGCACAGCCTTCGTCCCCAGAACATCTGCTCTAGGGATCTGGTGGTCCTTTCAGAGTAACATGGATGACAGCTCTTGAAACTTCAGGGAGGGTAACCATTAAAATCTCTTCTTTAACTCCCACCATAGGCCCATCCACTGGATCAAAGTCCCTTTTATGAACAACACAGATGTTCAATCACAAAGGGATAATTTGGGTTGAGAAACTCTGGGACAGGGCTATGAGTCCAGGTCACTAAGGGAGAAGGGCATGGAGGGGAGGTATACCATGGACCCCAACCCCTTTACAGACCTCTTGGAGACCATTACGGCCAGTTCAGCACCTGCACACCATTTTGACCCAATGGAGCCAAAAGAAGCACTTGTGACGCCGGCAGGAGGGACTTGGGAGCCCCGGAAGCTGGTAGTACAAGCCTTCCCTGAAGGGTGTTGGTTGGCTAGGGAATCTTTGGAAAGCCTGGAAACAACTATGGACTGGGAACAGCCCAAGCCCAGTGAGCAGAAGATGAGCTTACATAAAGACTGGACCTGACAGAGGGCTGGTGAAGTCAAATCAGTTCCTCCCCCCCAGTAAACTGACAAGATGGGATACAACTGGTGCCCCACCTTTTCTTGTACCCTACTTCAATAAAATCCAGTTCTAGCAGCTCTGGGAGTCTCAACGTGCTGGACTCCATGGCCAAGGAGACACTCTGGGCAGAGGCAGAAGTGCTCACAACTGCCTGCATAACATGTTCCATGACTGACCACTGAATAATGACAGCATCTGCTTGTGTGAATGCATGTGTCATGTTGTCCCATCTAGCGAACAAAAGGCATTGATATTATGACACAGTCAGTCATGAAGGCAACTGCTATTACCAGTGCAGGAACATGTGATACCTTTATTAAACCACTTAAAACATAAAATACTGTATAATAAAACAAAAAAACAAACTCACTGTTTCTCCTTTGTGTTATTTTAATTTTTTAGTGGCCTAATAAAGGAATCACCTGTTTCTACATTTGTATTGTTTTGGAGACCATGTGGCCTTTTCCTGATTTTGCTGTTACCATGTACTAGTGGAAAGCACTCAGTTACATTAAAAATTAATGTGTTTGAACAGTTCAGATATAGCTAAAAATGATTATTCATGCTCACATTTTGATTATTTACATTTACCTGTATAATTGCTGCATCAATGCAGATCTGTAGTGCTGAAAATCCATAGCGCCAATATGTTTCAGCTTCACATATTTTGTAAGGGTTTGAACAACTGCCTATGGGAAATTAAATTATGAGCAGGAACATATGAATCCATTTTGTCTGATCACAAACATTATGGGTGGCAGATTGACATTAATGTCCCTGCACTTCAAAGGCCCAATAATAGAAATTGATCAACTTATTTCATGGCATCGATACATTGCTAAACGATTGCATGCCTGAGACATTTAAAAATACTGATTTTTATCAATGTTTTATGTTAATAAAGTGAACTTAAGGGCACCTTCTTAGAAGTAAGTCTTATGGAAGATCAATACATAATAAAAGACATCAGCAGACACTCCAGGCTGCAATCCTATATATATTTACCATGAGCAATTACTACTGAACCAAGTCGGCTTTCCAAATGAGCAGACACATGTTAGACAGTTTCACATACTATTATTTCAAACTATGAAGTCGTCAGGTCTTTACTTCACCAAAATGATACCAAGTTAAGCAAACTACCTTTTAAAAAGCCCCACAGAGACATATTTTATATATTTACAGTATTTAAATTTGCACTTACTTTTAGATTCCACAATAACTGAAGACTGTGGAATGAGTGTAGGAGGAAATCGGAGATGGTAAGACATGGGATCCATAAAGATTACACCTACAAAGTTCTTTGGGTTCAGATGACTAGCCTCTTCCATTTCCTGTTCACTTGCAAATTCTTTTATATTTCCTGAAAAATATCAAAATCAACAACATCCCTCTTGGCAGTTCTCTTAATAGTTAATATTATGAAATGTTTGTACGATGGAAAACTATTCAGGCAGGCAAAGAAAACAAACATACTTGATCAATCATTCTGAAGACTATATGTCCAAGATGGAGAAAAAAACAGGACCAATGTCTTGCAATAACAGAAGAGCATGAAAACTAACAGTACCTTCTTTGCAGTATTCTGAAAATATTTTGCGCATGATTTTTCTTGTTGTATCATTCTCTGCTGTGTAGCCAATAATAAACATATTGGAATGATTTGCAGAATCAAGATTGGAATCAGGCACCTCGTCATGTCTTTTGTTTGGCTGTATCATGCTTATGAGTATCAGTAAGCATAACAAGGTAATTGGAATCAGGATCTCCTACACAAATGAAAGGAGTTGAATGAAAAATAGTAAAATAATCATCTGTGGTAGCATTCTAACATATAGCCCACCTAATCCCTCCTGCAAAAACACCCGATACACTGACATACGTATAACGGGAAATGGAGCTGCAGGCTTAACAGTAATTAAAAAGTGTCAGGAATCTGGGGTGTGGAGATGGGTCCGAGACAAGTCAGTCTTCCAGGTCAACAAGCAAAGAGACTTGCAGGCACTGTAGATTCCTTCACCAGCAGTCTATTTACAAAATATGTACAGCAGAACTATGTTCATCAGTCAGCAGGCTAAAAAAAATACACTTATCAGTAAAATAAACGGACAGCACTTCATATAACAGCTCTCCATATTCCACTATAGTGTGCAGCACTTATAGTATGAACAACCTATCACTGGGCACATCACCTGATGTCTTCTCCTAGACATTATTACATCATGCCTAATACACATTTCAAGGACTGCATCGGCTACCTGAGTTGACCTTGTGGCTGCATACCTGTTATAAAAATGGATGCCTGACAGAACACTCTGGTTCATGCACAAAGGGTACATTCTACTTTATGGGCCACAATATCCTAACAAAATGCAAAAGGTATACAAGAGGCTCATAATCCTGTGCTATAAAAATAGTTTACAAACAAAAAAACTCTCTACGCCAATGTGTTTATTAAACACATGCTCTCAGACAATTAAAAGACTATTCAGATCTCATATTGTGACCTTGAAAGGCAACAGGCTTTATGAGCATGGCTATAAAAAATGATTCTTGGCTTTTGCCAAAATATCTTGCTGAACAATCTACAGTATCTGAAAAATGATATTTATATTTCATAAGCTAGGAAAATAGCATGATATGCGTTCATTTGCTACATGGTATGTGTTTTGCGTGGGACGTGGTGGCGCTGTGGGCTAAACCGCAGAAGCCTCTGTGCTGCAGGGTCAGAAGACCAGCAATCATCAGATCGAATCCACGTGACAGAGTGAGCTCCCGTCGCTTGTCCCAGCTCCCGCCAACCTAGTGGTTCGAAAGCATGCAAATGTGAGTAGATCAATAGGGACCACCTCGGTGGGAAGGTAACAGTGTTCCGTGTCTAAGTCGCACAGGTAATGTGACCACGGAAGATTGTCTTCAGACAAAACGCTTGCTCTATGGCTTGGAAACGGGGATGAGCACCGCCCTCTAGAGTCGAACACGACTGGACAAAAATTGTCAAGGGGAACCTTTATCTTTACCATGTGTTTTGCAATCATGTGCACTGGTCCCCCTTGACCAGCCCCATCCCTCAATAAGGCCACATAGAACTGGGATCCAATCTGCCTTGTGCCCTTTTAGGGATACCCTGGGGCAATGCTTATTTGGGCCCTTCATACATTTCCAATTGCCCAGGAAAATCCCCTTTCAGCCAATGGGGAAAAGCAAACAGCAAGGCCAGCTCATGCAGGCGGGACACACAGGCTTCTGGTCAAGCAGCAGCTGTCTGCAGTGCTGGTCATTCTGTTTGATTTATTTTTTTTCCAGTCACTAGAAGAAAACCCCTATCAGCTCCCTAAGGCAACCATCAGGAAGGGACTGGGTGAGGAACTTAAAACGGGCAATGGCCATGGTACTCTCTGACTCCTTAGAAGTGCCTGCGCGTCTCTACACTGCCTGTCTCTTACTTTTCTTTTTTTGTCCCCATCCTTACCCTTCCCTGGATCTGAAATTAGTAGCACAGGCGCCACAGTATGAACTTGGATTATTTAATCACTCACTTTGCAGCTGAAAAGGCAAAGAAGGTTAATTTCTAACACAGCAAGCAAATATTCCATCATCCTGATTTTCCCCCTATTTGCCTGCTTCTTTTTGCAACACACAAAAGCTAGAATTGACACAAGGGATCTGTGGGTGTGTTGATCTATCCTGCTTATGCTCTGTTATTACAAGAGAAGCACATCATTCCACACCTCCCCAATATTAATGAGAAAAATATTTACATACATTTGGTATCAATTTGTTATATTCAGCATTAAGTTTACATTCGATATAACTTTAGAGAGACTGAAACTACTTATATGTGCTAATTTTGATACATTTCTCATCTACAGGCCCTGCTCACCCATGCTTGCACTTTATATCAACTGTGCACTGCATGTCCATCTCCCTGGCTGATTTGCATCTCATTGCATTACTTCTCAGATAGACAAAGTCATAGGTAATTGCTTTATTGTTGTCTGATTTCCTGTAGTGATGTACATCACAATAATTAATCTCCAGATTAATTCTAGCTTAAGCTGGGATGTCAGTCAATCAACAAAGGCTCAGGATGTCCAGTGAACATCTCTTCATGGGGCTTCAGTGCTTGTAATTATATATTACTGTACTTGAAATAATGAAATGTTACAAAATGCCACCAGTCTCTAGGGCTCTCTCTTCCAAAGCAAGCTAGTGGTGTTCCTGAAGCGTCTTGCCAGTCAGGGAAGTGGGAAATGTGTCACAAGAGATGGTTGAAACCATTTCACGTGGCCATGTGTGCACTACTAACGGTGAAATTTTCAAAAGAAGTTAAAGAGGGGAAGGGCTTCCTCTTCTGAGTCTGCACATGGAAATGAAATGCATTGCTCAGAATAACCAGCATGATATAGCTGTTTGGTACAGGGTTGTCAACCTTCAAAGCCACCTCTTCACATAAAGGTGGCCCAGAACGTTCACATCAGCTTCCCAGATGCCTGATCCCCCCTGCCTGCCCAAGCATGCTCTTCCATGCACTGGCAGGGGCAGACAGCAGATGCTCTAATGTTAGTATTCCTAGAAAAACAGAGGGAGCTATTCAAAGGGCAAGATTAGGGTGTCGATTAAGAAGCAAGTCTCATTGAGTCTGATGGGGCTTTCAATTGATTTTCATAGATCTTAATAAAAATTTACATATTATTCCTTCAATAAAAACATTTGTTTTATCATTGAAACCAGAAAAATACTAAAAATGCATCTGCTCAGGTCACCTGAATGCTAGTCTTTTTAGTCCTCCATTTCACTAGGCAGTTCTTGTACAAAAGAGCTCGAGTTTGGCGCCACACTCCAACTTGTCTTGGAACATCTGAGGACATTTCTAATGTGTAGAGTCTGAAAAGCAAGGTCAAGAAATGTGGTATAAATAAATGGTATAAACTTCAATCTGAAACTCTTCAAAAAGAGGCACCAGGCAACACACACACAAGGGCAGGGTACAGGTGGGCCCTGTTCAATGAGGCTGCGACGGAGGGCAGCCACACAGCTCAGAACATTCCAGAGGCCCTGAGGGACCTCGGCCCCCACAGTGGCATCTGGCTACAGAAAGGCAAGATTCCTTTGTCACAGAAAAAGGGGGAAACAGGGTGGCAGGATTACAGGCTGAGAATCCTGGGGTGCGGTGTATGCCCACCCTCAACCTAGTACAGTGGTGCCTCGCAAGACGATTTTAATTCATTCCGCGAAAATCATCGTCTTGTGAAAAAATCATCTTGCAAGGTTCCCTATGCATCAGTCTCAAAAAAAAAAGTCTTGTGAAGCACGGTTACAGAAAAAAAGTCTTACAGGGCACCATAGTGATCGCAAAAATCAATCATCTTGCGGGTTTTTCATCCCACAAGGCAATTGTCTAGCGAGGCACCACTGTAGTTCAGAGTGCTTGACAGGGTATGGAAGACATACACATATTGTTGTTGCTGTTTAGTCGTTACGTTGTGTCCAACTTTTTGTGACCCCATGGACCAGAGCACGTCAGGTCCTCCTGTCTTCCACTACCTCCTGGACGCATACGCATACCTAATATAATTGAGTACATCAGAAAGGTGGCAGGGGATTTTCACCATAGTTCCCAGAGCAGTGGACTGTTACACCAGAGGCAAAACAAATTGGGATGGGACAGATCAATGGAACTCCACTTTCTACTGGCTTGAAAGACTGCTGGAGCAGCCGAGGGCATGATGCGTGGCTGTTGCTCTGCTCAGAGAAGAGTGAGACATGACAGGCCAAGTGGTGCATGTCCTCTGAAGCTTTGAGACAGCAACACAGGTCCTTAGTAGGGAGACAGTCCTCCTTAGCCAGGAGGTCCCAATGTTTCAGGGCACGGTTGGCATAATGAGGGGACAGTCTAGGTGGATGGGGGATTCCACAGAGGGAGAACAGTGGTGGCTCTGGCAAGCAAGCAAAAGGATCTGATCCACTATAGGCTTGCCTCCTTGTGGAAGGAGAAGGGGTATGTTCTAGTAAGCCTCTTGGGCCCTGAATTAAACAGTGGGCAGTGGATATTAAGCAGCAGCAGCATGGGGTGGGATGGGGAACAATGCCAGCCAACTTTTCATCAGATACAGCAGCAGCTAGTGACGAAGGTCCAGCTAGCACTGAGGGGGTCACATAGAGCAGGAAGAAACAAGCAGAGTTCATGGCACCCTGAACAGCACTATCTGCATTTGTTTTATAAAGTCCAAGTCCTTCACCCCAGCAATAACAGGGCAAGATTTCTGGGGCACTGTCTTGTCTTGCAAAGCATGGCAAGGCCCTGTCCTCCATAGACACCACCCCAAAGCAGTCTCTGCAACCAATGGAAAAAGGACAAGGGAAGAAGGAAGCCAGAAAAGCCAGCAGCCATCATATTAAGGTACTGTACCTAGAGTGGCTGATGGAAGCTGTAGTTCTTGAAGGAACAGCATCCTCTTTCCTGCTGAGTTCGTTTTCTGAAGAGCTGAGCAGTGAGTGCAGCAAAAGAGATTGTTGTGGCTCAGCTAATTCAGGAAACAACCACATGGTGGTAAAGGGGAGGTGATCTGACCCTTCTTACAAGCTTTCTCTCCATGCCATTCCTCATGATCAAGATATACATTACAGATTCCCTATGATTAAATATTAAAAGCCATCCTTAAATGTTCAAAGCTGATGTAACACAAGTTTTTTTCACCTCCAACTGTTGGTAAATTACCTTGTTTGTTTTGTGATTGGCCTTCTGGAAATGGTGGGAAGAGGTAAATCATTGGTTTTTATTTCCACGTGTGATTGCTCACAACGGTCTGTCAGAATTTTACCTCTAATGCGCCTTCAACGCCTAATGATGTGCTTCAATGGCAAGTTTGATCCTCAGACTATGGAGATGCATTAGCAATTCAGGAAGAGATGTGAAAGGGGCTTGCCAAAATGTTTACAATGCTTCCAAAGCTCAATGCATTCTAGAAACCTGCTTCTTTGCAGGTAGGCAGAATAACTTATTTGTTCAGCTAAGTTTGCACAGGGGTACACAGAGCATCAATTTTGGTCATATGATAGACCTTATCAATAAGGACAGAATCCCAGTGCTACTACATCAAAATAAAGAGAAAAGGTAAAAATGGAAGTGAAAGAAAAACACACGACTTAATGCCCAAATTGTAAGCTATCCAATCAATGCTGATACAGCAATCATTGTCCCATAGCCATTGTTTTGCAGACATCTACACATGCAGTCTTAATACAGTGGTGCCTCGCTAGACAGTTACCCCGCATGACAGTTTTTTTTGCTAGACATTGACTTTTTGCGATCGCTATAGTGATTCACAAAACAGTGACTCCTATGGGGGAATTTCACTGGACAATGTTTGATCCCTGCTTCGCAAACCGATTTTCACTAGACAACGATTTGCTTTTCACTAGACAATAATTTCGCTAGACAGCAATTTCAGTGGAACGGATTATCATCGTCTAGCGAGGCACCACTGTACTTCAGTATCCCTATAAATTCAGTGAAAGAACCAAGGGGGGGAGGGAAGAAATGAAAAAAAAGATGACTATTCTAGAATGCAGAACCCAAAATCTTTCACATCAATTCCACTACCTAAACAGTCACACAAGGCTTCTGCTTTGCTCTACAGTTCTGCAAAATGGCTGGCATATTGGCTGCATGATAATTAGAGGTGGGCATGAATTGATTTTAATTGATTTTAATTCATGATTCATCAGAGTTGACAAATCACTATTAACGAATTTACATTTTTTTCTGATGAATCAATTCATCAATTTATTCTTGCATTTAAAACCCTATGAAATAGCCCCTCAAACACCTAGAGACACCAAATTCACAAAGACGCATCCCCTGACTCTCCTCAACAAGCCCTGTAAGTCTGGTGAAATTTGGGTTTTGGACATCCAAATTATACACCTGTGAAGTGCCCCCCAAAGTGCCTTTTAGCAGCTGGCTTGGGGAAATATTGTAGAGGAGACTCATCGGGAGCTTCTCTAGTGTGCTCTGGATATGTGCTCTCCTCTGAAGATGCCGGCCACAAAGACTGTCGAAACATCAGGAAGAACAACCTTCAGAACACGGCCAAAGAGCCCGAAAAACCCACAACAACCATCAGATCCTGGCTGTGAAAGCCTTCGAGAATACATTAATTATTAAGTTTTCTTTAGTGTATAGATATGCTAAAAGGCTAAGTAAAGTTTTGATTTTATGCACAGAAGCAATGGGATGAATACAGCTTGTAGAATTAGATCAGTTGATGTTGCCTGGAATTAATTTTCTACTTCAGAAAAGTAGAAAGACTATGACAAGAATATCTAGAGAACACTTACTTCACCATGAGTGAAACAAATGGTTTATTCCCATTCTCTGAAGAGAGTTGGCATATCAAAACATTGAAAATACTTATATCTTAATACCCAGATATGATAGGAAAGGGTTATCTGACCTCACACTGGAATTGATAAAAGGGATAAATGTCAGTTATGACAGACCACCACAGATTCAAACTACTAAGGAGTGTTATAAATCTGATAATACTCAGAGGACTTTGAGTGTCATAAACTTGACCTTACAGAGGAACAAAGGGTACTGGGAAGGAGAAAATGTTTAAGGAGAAAATCTGCAAAACACTACTGCACTTTAAAGAGCAACAGATTTATTTTAGTGCAAACTTTTATGGATCAAAATCCACTTTTTCAGACACAAGGAATGCAAATATAGGTACAAACAGACATAGTATTTGTACATCTTGTTTCTGAAGAATTGGATTTTGATCCATAGACACACTGTAATCTATAAAGTGCCACAATTTTGTGCCTTTTCCCCTATTCCTTTCCCCCATTTGGCTCCTTTAATTTTGTCAGCATGCTATGAGAGACTAACATGCTTACTACTTTGAACCTGAGCCATGATCAGCTCAGACAACCCTATGGTTCTCATGGCAACCATGAAGTCTTGACACGGTTGTTTTAAAATGATGGTGATGATGATGATGATGTGCCACCAAGTAAATTCTCATTTGAGTTTTCTAGGTAGAGACTACTCAGAAGTGGTTTACCATTCCCTTCTACTGGGAACGTCCTGGAACTGTGCAGCTTTCCCAAAGCTACACAGGCGGCTAGCTCTAATTGCAGGAGGCACAGTAGGGAATTGAACTCCCAAACACCCAACTTCTACCTGAATTATCAAGCCAGGTTCTTTATAACATGAGCTCTGTCTCCAACAATGAACTTGCAACTGACACCATCAGACACTGGTAAATCTTAGTGTCCCTTTATAAAACCTTGATATGAGGAACATACTTCTGATACTCTAAAGAACTTTCCAAGACAACAGAACTCCTGTCTGCCTCCAGCCAGGAATTTTCCTTTCATGCTGTGCACGAAACTCAGGCCAACATGTCTGAAACAGAATAAGACACTGTGCTTCATCTAGCTCCCTAATGTATTAAATCTTAGCAACCAGTTGCTTTTATAGGAGAGTGCCCTTGCACTGAACAATACCCACAGCAGTGGTGATTGATTAGTACTGACTCAGCCTCTAACAGCAACAATGCCCAGGACAGGACACAGACACTAATTGTGCAACCTTCCCCTTATCTGGGTTTGATTAATAGCTTTCTCTCCACTACCAATCTCCCTTCCTTGGCCAGTGCTAGAAGTAATCACTCAATTCCTTGCCCATAGCCAAAAAGGCACTAACCATTTTGAACCCTGATCTTGTTCTTCCCCTGCACCTCAGAGCCTGGTGGAAGGTTTTCTAGAGGACATTTCCACATGCAAATATAGGTACAAACAGACATAGTATTTGTACATCTTGTTTCTGAAGAATTGGATTTTGATCCATAGACACACTGTAATCTATAAAGTGCCACAATTTTGTGCCTTTTCCCCTATTCCTTTCCCCCATTTGGCTCCTTTAATTTTGTCAGCATGCTATGAGAGACTAACATGCTTACTACTTTGAACCTGAGCCATGATCAGCTCAGGCAACCCTATGGTTCTCATGGCAACCATGAAGTCTTGACACGGTTGTTTTAAAATGATGGTGATGATGATGATGATGTGCCATCAAGTAAATTCTCATTTGAGTTTTCTAGGTAGAGACTACTCAGAAGTGGTTTACCATTCCCTTCTACTGGGAACGTCCTGGAACTGTGTAGCTTTCCCAAAGCTACACAGGCGGCTAGCTCTAATTGCAGGAGGCACAGTAGGGAATTGAACTCCCAAACACCCAACCCAACTTCTAATTATCAAGCCAGGTTCTTTATAACATGAGCTCTGTCTCCAACAATGAACTTGCAACTGACACCATCAGACACTGGTAAATCTTAGTGTCCCTTTATAAAACCTTGATATGATATGAGTACTTCTGATACTCTAAAGAACTTTCCAAGACAACAGAACTCCTGTCTGCCTCCAGCCAGGAATTTTCCTTTCATGCTGTGCACGAAACTCAGGCCAACATGTCTGAAACAGAATAAGACACTGTGCTTCATCTAGCTCCCTAATGTATTAAATCTTAGCAACCAGTTGCTTTTATAGGAGAGTGCCCTTGCACTGAACAATACCCACAGCAGTGGTGATTGATTAGTACTGACTCAGCCTCTAACAGCAACAATGCCCAGGACAGGACACAGACACTAATTGTGCAACCTTCCCCTTATCTGGGTTTGATTAATAGCTTTCTCTCCACTACCAATCT